TCAAAAATGATCGCATCTAAGAGTTTCCATAACGCTTGCGCAAATTAAGTTACTGTTGGCAGTTGGAATTTCAGCGGAGGCGAAAGATGGCAACATTAAATATAGAAATTCTGACGCGTTTTCTATCCTCGCATACAGCAGCATTCATTCCGCACTGACAGTGCAACGTCTTCTCAACACAGTGCATTGAATATTAAGAATTCAGAGAATGCAAAAATATGTATCTTGAGAGATCCCAGATACAGAATGGAAGTGAAAGTTCTTCAAGACACACAAGTATGACAAACATGGGGGGACAGATTCTTGATTAAAAGTGCAAATTTTTCTTAAGGTCGTTTAGAGGGACAATAACACGGGTTTTTCATTTCCATTTGACAGCAAACAAGGTCTTGCTGCTTGTTTCACCCATTCACCTAGCCCGATTTAAAAAAATTCTAGTATGTTTAAATTATGAAATGAATAAACTATTTAAAAACCAACTAATTAAGGTTAATTGATTTGGGGCCCGAGAGTCGGTTTTATTTGGGGATAGAGGAGGAAGCGTGATTACAGGTTCTTTCTGTTAAAAAAATATACATTGTTGTCATAGACTTTAAAAAATCACAGACTAGTTGCAACGTCAGGTAAATTATTTAAACTTTGCAGGATGCCTTGTTTTCCATTTCCATACGTGAGTTAATATGATTGGTCCGGGTGGGAGGTTTATGTCCGTATGAAAGCACTCTTCGATTTGAATCTTCGCTTTGAGAGACGATGCATCTTCATTTGTAGCTAGGGCGTTCCCAGCATGCCCACTTTCTGTGGAAACCGAGAAGGGTACCGAAAAGTAGGCTAAAAGTTGTTATTTACTTAATTTTCCTGCAGCTGACTACTTTTAGGAGGGGGATTGTCGAGCCCACAACCTAAGTGCTTTAAATCAATCCTTGTTTTTTTTGTTCCCATCGTGAAAAAAATATAAACTACCTTTTACCTCGTCCCTGGTTTTAGGGTTGTCTGCCGTTGCGCAAATAAGTGGTTTTTAATGGGCCTTCGAAAGAACAATATGTACACCAAACACTCCTGTTTAATTTGGGATGTTCGTTTTTTGCTTTGGTTGCCATCCGTAACTTTGAAATGCACGTATGGGACATAACAAGGACTGATGGAAGTCGAGTTATCCTTCCATTGGTTGGTGACTTGGTTTCAATGTCTTAATTAGGTTATGCTAGATGGCTGGATGTAAGAATATAGGGTAAAAAAAATTAATTGAATGTCCATGTAGATTAATGTTTCACATACATTGACATCATCCCCTGCTATTTAGTGTATAGTTTTTCGTATGTTCTACGTTGATTTGAAAACAACCAAATCCTGTATTTCGCGGAAATACTAGCAGATGGAGTTTTTGTGCAGGGGTCAA